GTGAGTGAGCATGAGTACACCACGCTTGGCAATGGCACCAAGAGACACCCATCACTACCCACTATGCCATGCAGCCCAGACAGCTCCCAAATGTCACAGCTTGAGACAACATGGCTCCAAATAATTTTTGTGGTTGTTTCCTAAGTACAACCAAACACTGTTTCAACCTGACATTGCAAAGTATGTGTAACCAGTGTAACTTTCTCTGACTCTTGAGGCCAGTGAACAAATTCTAACATAGTTTTCTTCTCCCAGCCCTATCCCCAAATCAAGAGGAGCAGCTACCCAGGCCAGAACAACATAAATAACACAGATAGATATCAAAGCCCATATTTCCATTCAATTGCACCAAATCTTATCTTCCTTTATTCTTCTACTTTAGAGGAAATAGATTTTAACCTTAAATAGCAGCAAAAAAGTATTTACCTGCTGTCTTCAAAGTATCACTAGGGAAATGCATAAGAACTGTCAGCTTAAGAGGAGCCTTATGATCTCTTCCTGAATAAGACAGACTCTGTCCATCAACCAAAACTTTAGCAATGTCACCAATCTGTTTATTATTACTTTTAAAAGTCTTTATTATGAATCAATATTCTCTACTATATTAGTCTCTAACATCAATTCTCAGAAATAAACAGCATGAAATGGCTAGTGTGAAAAGCTCAGGGAGAAACCATTCAAACTAAAATGGAAATCTGCCCTGTCATCTTTACTATCAGGGCTAACATGGTCTGAACACAATTTCCACTGTGGAGCAGTCACTTCCTCCACTGCATCATCACCTCCTCCACTGCATCATCACCTCCTCCACTGCATCATCACCTCCCTCACCTCCTCCACTGCAACATGACCTTCACTCACCTCCTCCACTGCATCATCACCTTGCCACTCAACCATTGTGGGTTATGTGAAATGTTTAAAGGAGATTCCTTGATGAAGTAAGTCTGAAGGAATGGTACTCTATGAATGGCAACCACTGCACACTCAAATATATGCCTCCCATGATCCTTCCTTCCTTCCTTCCTTCCTTCCTTCCTTCCTTCCTTCCTTCCTTCCTTTTCTTTCTTTCTTTCTTGACAGTATCTCTCAGTATAACTCTATCCTAGAACTCACTATATAGACCAGGCTGGCCTCAAACTCACAAGAAATTCACCTGCCTCTGCTTCCCAAGTGCTGGGATTAACGGCAGAGGCCACCATGCCTAGCAATTACATTGCTTCTAGTGTCACTGAGTCAGTCCAGTGCCTACTATATCACAGTGAGAGACATTTAGCACAGAGATGTTACCTTTCTGGTCAGTGGTACTTCTATAGGTACTGGAATCACTTCTGCCAGGAGACATCCATAAAAAGCCACCATAAACATGACTGGATCATTGTTGGGGTAAACCAAGGCAACCTAAAATTCCCGAAGACATTAAACAACAGTGGAGTACAGACTGATTAAGTCTATACACATAGAACATTTTCCATGGACACAATAAACCAAACAATTTAACAGTTATTCATTCTGAAGGAAATTAAGTGACTAAGAAGGACAAAAACATCTGGTAGGGGCACCATCATCCCCATGGTTATACCATAGATTCTGGGGTAGAGTTTGTAGCTCAGAGAGTATTTGCCTCATATAAGACCCCATTTACATTCCTAGGAACATCAAAAAATAAAGCTAAAACCTAAAACTTACACATTTTGAGACATAAAAATACTATTCATTATCATTATGGTAAAATGTTTCATTTAATCTTAGTTGTGATTCAGTAGCAGACAGCTTGTCTGTTAATTACTTAGGAAGCTGAATGCAATTTACCTTAGTGCAGGGCTAATGGCATAAATGTGGTGGATATCTCACGACAGAAAGCGTGTAAGTTAGAGCTGTGTGTGTCTCAGGGGGCGCCTACAAGTGTTAACCACAGAGGCCTGTTTTAACCATTGCATTGCACCAGTCCCTAGTCACTCAACATGCAAGTGGTCCAGCATGAAGGCATCTGGTAACATATGAACAACTGCAAATACAGTTGGCTCATTAGCAAGAGGCAAGTCAGGGGAACACTGAAAGCCCTATGTGTGCAAGCCTGTGATTTCTTCTGCTAAGTCACAGGAGTAATTTTATTCAAGGATGCAAAACCACCCATCTTACTGCACTGTGGCGCTTGTTCTCTGGCTGGAATATTCGCAGATTCACATTTGAAATCTAATCATATCATTGGAGTCTTTTAAGTTTCTTTTATTTATTTTACTGTTTGGATAAGATATGCGTGTGGGTGCCGAGTGCATGCCATAGTGTATGTGTGCTTAGGGGACAACTGTCAGGTCTGTGAGTTCCAGAGATGAAACTCAGACACAAGGTTTCGACAGCAAGCCCTTCACCCCGTGAACTCCCCTCTCCAGCCCCTTAACCACTGTGTTCCTGTTTCTTCTCCATTTGCAATCAAACTGTTTAAACTCACTCTAAAGCTGAGTTCAGTCTAAACCTTTAAACTGTCCTAGAGGTCTAAAAATAATTCCACAGAATGAAACAGCCTTCTTGACACTTGGGTAGGCACAGCATTGCCTGCTTAGGGTTCAGTGACTCATGGGAAATCCTCAGTGTCAGTTTGTATACGTAAAAGCCATACTTTAATTATTTCTGGGACATTGTAAAAGTTTAAATTTTTAAACAGTTACTTGAGGATCCATGAGATAGTCTAAGAGTGGTTGCTACCAAGTCTGATGACCTAAGTTGAATCCTCCAGAACTTACGTGGTAGAGTCAGCTCCCATAAACTGTCCTCTGACTTCCATATGAACACTCATGTTCACACACACACACAAACACACATAAATGTAAAAAACATTTTCTTAAAAAGGTTATATTAAGAAAGTCTGCTTATTAGTCTACTAAAAAGAAAGCTGGGGTCGGTGAGTTGGCTCAGTGAAAAGCGCTTGCTGAGCAAGGCCGACAGTCTGAGATTGATGGAAATCCAGAGCCAATTCTCAAGAGTTGCCCTAAGACTTCCATAAGACCCAACCCCCACAAATCAACAGATAGAAGCCAGGTAATTCATAAAAACTGCTGTGTAGTAGCTGGTATTTCATTCTACAAATTACAAATAAACAGTAATGTTGAATGACAGGAAGCAGTCCTATTCAATACATTAATAACAGGGAAAGAAAAACTTAAAAAATTAGAAAAAAATCACTTCCAATTAAGAACTAAATGAAACAGTATCAATTTGCCTTTAACAATTTTAAGAACCAGTTTTATAAAGACAAAAATTTGAGTCTAAATCAAAGTATTTACTTTCAGAAAGATTTCTTTTCCCTTTTTACTGCCTCAGTTTACTAAAGAGGCCCGAAGCCTCACCTAGTGCTGAGCTGGCCCATTGGACTTGTGACTAAACTGGTTTTATTTTCTAAGAATAAGAGCTACGCTGGAGTTGCAAACAGCTCAGTGGGAAATGCACTGGCTGGTCTTACAGGGAACCAGGGTGCCCCTTCCAGCACAGTGGGAGCTCACAGCCACTTCACAGATCCAGCTCTCGGGAATCTGATGTCCTTAGGCACCAGACACGTGGTATAGACAGACACACATGCAAGCCACACACCCATACACATAAAACAAGTAAGCATTTTAAGAAGGAGTAATGTAAGTCTTATCATTGTACAACAACGCCCAGGGCATGTATCAGAAACAAACACCACCTTTCTAGACAAACAAAATAAATTACCCTGTCTCCAGGTTTTAACACAGGCTCATTTTTGGTCCCAAGTTTATTAAGCAGCGTGTAAGCCAACTTTAAACTTCTGCTCCACAACTTCCCTGAGAAAAGAAAACAATCAGACAGTAGAGATTATCGGCCTATTTCAGCCAGAGAGTACTGGGTTCAGCATGCTGACTAAAACAAGTGCCAGTCACCAGCGCTGCGATGAGCTAGCACCACCCTCCCCAGCACAGAAGCCTCCCCTCCAGCAGCCTCTCTGGCACTCTCAAGAGCCACTCTTGCCCAGGACAAATGAAGCACACCCTGCCTTATTTAGAAGTTCAAGTTCTTTCCTGCAGTTTGTTTTTTCTCTTTTTCTTTTTGAGACAGGGTCTTACTATGTAGCTCTGGCTATCCTGGGACTTGCTACGTAGACCAGGCTGGCTTCAGGCCCACAGACATCTGTCCACTTCTGCCTCCCAAGTTACTGGGATTAAGGTGAGTGCCACTAATATATGGTTCATTTCAATTTTTTTTTTAAATAATGTAACAAGAGCATACTTAAGTATCCCTTTAAAGAGAGGGCAACATTTTTTGTTTGTCTGTTTTATAACACAAGACTAAAGGACAGGTGGCTATGTCCTAGGGTTCTCTGGAAGGTTTAGCTCAAATGATTAAAAAATACTATAACTGGAACAAGCTGAACCTGGGCTCACAGCAATAACGCTGACCTTCAGAGGCTGAGGCAGGAAGATTTCTTCTGCTTCAAGGCCAGACTGGGTTACATAGTGAAATTTTGTCTTATAGAACAGTATAAAACAAAACTAAGATCAAAAGAGAAGCTGGCTCTAGGGGCCATATGTGTGTACTCATAGGTGTCAGATGAACGTGAAGGACCCTTGGCACGTGGAGGGGGGCTACAAAGGGTGTTTTTTACTTTATAGAACTGTGCTCTTATTATAAGCAGGATGCAGACTGAAGATCTAAATGTGGTGGCTTTTCTCCTCCGTAACCATTAACACTGTCAAATCCTCCTCTAGTCAGTGCCACAATTTATGCCTGCAATTCGGAAATCAAGAGACTAAGAGAACCAAGAGTTCAAGGCCATCCCAGGTTACATGAACTTTGTCTCAGGAACATAAAACAAAACAAAAACAAATCTTCTAATGTAAAAACAAAAACGAATCTTCTTTTGCTGTCCGTAAAGCCAGCTGCTTGCCCACATCACTTTAGCAAATGGAAGTGTTTGGCAATAGCTCCACCTGGCACACAGGGTCCAATCAAATAACTGAGACACATGCAACTGAGAACCACCAAAAGAGGCGCTGCCCGCAATCCTTGAGAACTCTTAGCGCAGCGGGGACCTACCGTATGTGAGCGTATATACTGGTTTCCCAGACATGTCCAGCGCGGTCAGGCAGGGGCACTTGGCTTGGGTAGAGCCCCAGCGCTGCAGGGCAGACTCCAGCGCAGGGGGCCAGTTACAGATGACTCCAAGGGGCTCTCCCTTCACTGGTGTCATTTGTCGGCCCTCAGGCTTCGGTTGATTGGGATCTGGCTGAGGTACTGCAGCAAACAGGCAAGAAGATGAAATAAGTTCACATGTTTCTAACAACTCCAACTCGAACACATTTTCCTCTGTCTCTGGCTGATTCTCGCAGAGAGGCTTTGGGGCTTCTTCCATCGTCCTCCCAAGGAGTCACAGCTTCCAGGGAAGGGATGGCTTACTCTCATCACTGCTTACAGTGCCCCAAATGCAAGGGCTGCTTAACGATGTTAGTTGAGTGGAGAGAGATGAACACCTACACCAGGAATCAGAGGGAGTGTTTATACTCAAAATATACACTGTAGGTTTTTCTACAGTGAACAAGTATTATTCAAATAATTCTTTAAATCCTACATTTCTTTTGTTCATTGTTGGTTTTGGTTGTTTGCTTTTGTTTTTAAGACAGGGTCTCCCTATGTAGGCTTGGTTGGCTTGGAACTTGATACATAGACCAAGATGACCTTGATCTCATAGAGAGCCACCCACCTCTATCTCCCACTGTGCTCAGTCTTAAACTCTACATTCTCATAGAAGAAAAGATAATTTACATATAGGCTAAATACTCAAGTAATTACTGTGTACCAACCATGTGCACAGACTATAGTAAACTGGGAATGTGAACGAGCTGGGTGTGGGAGCCCATACCCGTAGTCTCAAAGTTCAGGAGGCTGAAGCAAGAACAAGATCAAATTTAAGGCCTGCCAAGGAATACTGCTAAAACTCTTGTCTCAACAAAACACTTAGAGAAAACAAACACTACACTTACAGCTACAGAGTGCACAAGGGGCACACAGACAATGATACCTCAACTCAGGTGTGACTCATCAGCTGGTGACGTTCTCTCTCCTGTACTCAGAGTGTGCAGACATCCACTGCCCATGTTGGCCTGGTTTTGCTGTGTGCATGCCCTAGTGCATGCTGCAGCTTTATGTGGGCCGGAGAGATGTTTCAGTGGTTAAGAGCACTGATCTCTCTTCCAGAGGACCCAGGTTCAATTCCCAGCACTCACATAACAGCTTACGGCTGTCTATATTTCCAGCTCCAGGAGATCTGATATCCTATTCTAGCCTCTGCGGGCAGCAAGCATGAAAGTGGTACACATACACATATGCAGGGAAAACACCCATCCATACAAAATCAATCAGTATAGACAACTAAAAATATTAAGAAGAAAAACTGTTCTTTGTAATTCACTATTATGACTCATTCTTTTTTTAGAGTTAGCATATAAAGCAGGGGGCTTCCAAACAGCATTTTATACAACTGTATCATTACACTTCATTCTTGCTCATCCCCATTCCACCTCTCCTACCCGCTCCTGCTGGCCTCCCTCTCCCCAAGTAGCCTTCATGTCTGCTTTCACATCATGTGAATTCCATTTCTCTCTTAGCCCAACCTCTGCTAAGACTCCCTTCTTCCCTTTTCGCAGTCCCCCCTTTTCAGAACCTGCACACACACATTTAAATCTAGATTCTGCAGGAAAAAGACATGCTGTCTGCACGTTTCTGAGTCTGGCTTATTTACATAGTGTAATGTTCCCTATTTGCATCCATTTCTCTGAATTCATTATTCTACTAACAAAATACTCATTTCACTCCTTATTTTGCATAATATTTTCAGACCATTAAGACCCTTAGATTTCATCTAAATTTAACAGAAATACCCAGGAGTAACTGTTATAAGCCACTTCATCTCTACAGAGACTGTGCATCTGGGAGGCACAGTTTTCCACTAGGGCTTCATGCACACTTCTTCATGCTTCCAAAAGATACTGGTGTTTTCCTTGTCCAAAAACAACCATTAGTCAAAGAAATCTATTTGTAATTAGTAAAACGCTGTTAGAACCCGGCAAAGATCAGAACTAGTCTCCAATATGCCACAATCCATTACTATTCTGATATGATTATAGTCTACTTCTAGTCTCCGGACAAGCAAACAAACCCCACAAAAACAAACTGACAGGGCTTCCTGATAGTTCTTTATGCAGCGGAGTCAGTTTCTGTTCCTGTGTGCAGTCTCCTTGGGAGTCTGCCATGGGCTTTAATCACAGAATGGCTGCTCTTCACCTACACTCACATCCTCTCCCTTCTCAAGCTCTCTTATCAAATCCAGGATATCATGATTTCACCAGTGAATGGTTTTTAATTATTGCACAAAAAATTCTGATGCTCGAGCACATCACACAGACAGGACTAACTTCTTAGCTCCCCTGTATTCTCTCGGATGAACCTCCTGGCTAACCTGTTTCTACACTGACTGGTCTAGGTCACAATCAGCATGAAGGAAGGAAGTGTATTTTCATGTCTTTAAATGTCTTTACTATCTACCACTCTGTCTTCTGGAAAGTAAGTGTCTGTGCACTGATTGGCAGAGTTAATGAAAGGCCCATCTGTATTACAGGAAAGAAAGCAAACCTTTGAGGCTGGATTTGTTATCGACACACTCAAAAAATACAAATTATAAATAATTATAGAGATCATGTATTTCTAGGCGAGTGAGAGGGTTCAGCAAATAAAGGTATTTGCCATCAAACCTGCTGACCCGGAACCTGCATGATGGGAGAGAAGCGGCTTTCAGAAGTGGTCCTCCGGTCTCCACACATGCTCGCTCGCTCTCTCACAGGCACACACACTATGTGCCTCTGACTCAACGACTGAGTACAAAGAGCACACTAATGAGGATAGCTCTTAGCTCCCAGTCCTCCTTGTCCCCATCCTTCTCCGAGACCTAATACATAAATGATCCTGAGGGAAACAGCACAGCTGCGTGAACTCCTTGAGTAAGAACCATGCCACGTTCAGCTCTGACTGTACACACCCAGCGTGTACTAGCTGCTAGTGAGTGTGTGCTCCTGGCACTTTCACTACTACCTTCCACAATTTCTTCAGAGTCGTCCACAAAAAATTCCTTTAAGGGAGGTCTTTTGGGTCGTTTCAGTGTGCTGAGAAGCTGCTGGATTTTCGTGGATACTCTGCTACTGACAGGAACACCTGTAAGGGGAAAAGCAATGGTAAATTCAGTTAAAATTCATTGACCTCAATAAATACATTTTATTTCCTCAATTACCTCATTCTTCTCTTTAAAAAACTTAACTATTAAGCTTTTTATTACCAATGAGACTTTTAAGGATTTAAATGCCTTGTTTATTGAAACTGTGATTTCTCTTTCTTACCCTTATTTCCTTTCCTCCTTCCTCCCAGATCTTCTTTTCCTTCAAGACAAGGTTTCTCTGTGTAACAACCCTAGCTGTCCTAGAACTCACTCTGTAGACCAGGTTGGCCTCAAACTCACGGAGATCCACCTGCCTCTGCCTCCTGAGTGCTAGGATTAAAGGCATGTGCCACCACTGCTTGGTCCAGATTTTACTTCCAGCAATGCTTGCTTGGCCTTCTGCCATCTTATTCTATTCAAAAAGGACCAAATATACACATGACAAACTTTATAACAACAGGAGACAAACCCAGCGCTATGCTGAGTGTGCAGCTAAAGGTCTCCCCAGGCTTCCGTTCCTCTTGTAGCATTTTTTCCTTCCACATTCGACTCACGGTGCTTTCTAGAAACACCAGTACGGACAGTGGCAAGAGGGACTCCGCATGGCGATGACGAGTGGGCCAGCAGCAGGTGTCTCTGCAGCCGGGTCAGCTGAGAAGAGCTGCTGGGAAGAATCTGCATTTTCCCAGTTTAACGTATACTCCCTAACCCTACCAAGGGACTCATACCATCAGCCGTATCCATCAGGCTGGACCTGTTGGCTCCTTTGTGCATGCCTTTAACTATGCCAGAAGGCGGCAGGTCAATGTTTGCTGGGCGAAGGGAGGAAGAGGTAGTTGCAGTGACATCAGGAGGAGCTGAGACATTCTCTGACGGGAAAAGACAAAATTTAGAATCATATGGTATTAACAGTAAAAATAACACTCTAAATCTTTTGCTTTAGAAGGAATAAAAATCATTAGCTTAGCTATTTTAAAACAAACTTTAAAAAATACTTATTTTCTTATTTACTTTATTATTATTATCATGTATTGTGAGCTAGTTCGCTCCTTCCATTGGCAGTCCCAATGACGGACCTCGAGTCCCGAGGCTTGCCTGAAAGTGCTTCTTTCTACCTGCTGAGCTATCTCACCGGCCCTAAAACAAATGTTTCCATCCAAGTCTACTAGAACATGAAGGTAAACCAGAGCACAGTTTTCTAAAACATAATTCTAAAGATATGAGTAGATTTAGTTATTAGATCAAATCACATAGCCAATGTTTCTAAAAACATTATTTTCTATACACAGTGGATAATGGGAATCCGATGTTTGTAAAGGTCACTTCAAAACGGAATCAAAGTGAGTAAGGTCCTAGCTCTCCAGGACCTTGAACACATGCACGTCATGTTCTATCTGGGATGTTTCCAGTTCTACCAAACCAGAACAGTGGCTTAGACTGGGTCAGAGACCCATATTCTCAAAGGAAGGAAAACGAGATAGCCTACTTCTAATTTTGATGAGACAGCCCAGAGTTAAGCTGGACCCACTGTCAGGCAAGGATCCCCACATATGCTACTTCATGGAAAAGTTCTTTTGAATTTTTTGAGACAGGGTCTCATCAGCCAGGCCAGCTGACCCTCTGCCCCTGTTTTCCAGTGCCGGGACTACAGGTGCACACTGTTTGGCCCAGTGTCCGTGAAAAGTGAGCTGGTGTGAGAGCAGGAGTGCTGTGGGCTGGAACAGAGCTACAGAATGAAGCCGTGCCACACACACAAAATTAGAAAACACCTTATGAAGAAAGAAATTAGAGGACATAAACCATATGACATAAAATAATCAAAGTCCACTGAAAGGAATTAAAAGGGGGAAATGTAATTTCTAAGATCAATTTAAGAGAAAGGGATCTGTGTTTCAAATGTATTAGTATTAGTTTTATTAATAATGCTTTTTAAAGACTGAAAAATAACTGGTGTGAGTCCAATGTGGTATATGTGGCAAAAAAGAGCATTAAGTTTTTCTCTTTTTCTGATCTTCCTGTTTCAGCCTCTCAAAGTGTTGGGACTACAGGTATGAGCAACCACATGCAGCTCTGTTTTTTATTTTGTTTTTCAAGAAGGACCCTACTATGTAACTCAGGCTGGCCTTAATTCTGTCTCAATCTTTTACGTGCTGGGATTACAGGTGTGTGCTACCACACCCAATTAGAACTGTATATTTTATACTTAATCCAGCATGTCCATCTGAGCAGTTTTGTAAGAGGACAGCACTGGATTCTATTTTGTTGTTAAAAATAAGGGAGTGGCTAAATAAACTAAGGCACAGAAAAACAGCGGTATACTATAAAATCACAAGAATAGCATAATTATATAGATGCTCATGTTTAACATCTTTCAAAGCTAAGAAAAGCAGGTAGTGACCTAATTACATTTAGGACAGCTTGCTTTATACAAAATGAAAGTCAAATCTCTATGTGCTCTAATTTAAATCTAGATTGTACACCAAGGTGCAACACCAATGTGTAATCCATTCGATTACAGTCTTCTCTCTTCTTTTGAGGCAGGGTCTCTGCATAGCCCTGGCTGTCCAGGAACTCACTATGGGATCAGGCTGGCCTTGAACTCACAGAGATCCACCTGCCTCTGCTGCTTTCCTCTGCCTCCTGAATGCTGGGATTAAAGGTATAAACCACAACACCCTGTAGATTATAGCCTTTTTTAAGGAACAGAAATTACTTCCATAGAAGCTAACATCCAAAAGCAGTAATACTGGATATGATGATTTCTGCAACTCAACTAAAAAAAAAAATTAACAGAAAAATAGGAAGCCACATGAAATCACCTTAATAAAATCCAGACAATGAAAAAAGGTATTTGGATTTCTTTTTTTTAGACATATTCATTAATAACTGCTCCCGACCACAGCTTAGCTGCTTGCTGCCTATGACAGGGCAGTGGGAAAGATGCCTATCTGTGTACGGCTGCACTGGGAGGCTCAGGGATACAGAGTACAGCAAAGAGTGCAGGTGGGTCACAATAGTGACGTGTGGCTTTTAATGTGGCAATCATATCCACCAGGTAACTATCGTCATTAAAAAGTATAATCTTAAACTATAATTTTCCAGCCTTTTCTTTTCAAAAATCAAATTGAAATATTGTATAAAGTGATACGGGAAGGTCACTGAGATGACAACTGGACAACGAAAAGTGACTGGTCGTCCAGGAAAAAGAGTACGACAGCAGACGCAGCATTAGGCCATGACTTACTGCAACTGGTACTGCTGAGAAGTAAAGCAGAGACCTGAGGGGGGCGGGACAAAACTCACAAATACATAAAGCAGAGCCGAGCAACAGCTAGACAGCATACGACAGCACCAGCAGCAGCCAGCAGCATGGTGTGCCTCCCCGCAGCCTGCATGCCTCTCATGCAGCAACAGCACCGCAGCAAGCAACATAAACCCAGTCTTTCAGTCATAGACAAAAGGCCTTGCCGACAATGGCTTAGTGTAGAATTTACTCAGATTAAATAGGTTATGTTTTATGGAATATAGATGTTTTTTCTTGGAACTCTGAGGTTTAGTAGCTCTTGATATAGGGACTATTTCTCTTCCGGCATAAACCCGTACTAAGACTGGGGTTATATTTTGCAGTTTCAGTATTGCTTACAGAAATAGATATGGCTTCAGGTGAGCAACATTTGTATCAATAGTGTGGATGATACCTATTACCCCTATAACAAATATATAGCTGGTGCTTCCTTCTCTGCCTCATGAACTGTTTTCTGTGATCATATATTTTAGGCCACATTGAAAACCTAACACAATCAATCATAAACTGTTTCCAGGATACTGGGGTGCCATATGAAACATTAGGTGGGCTTCTTGGGTAGATCAACTCCTACCTATTCGGGTATTGGCAAATACATCAGCTAGAGACCCACTGGTTCCTTTGACCTCTCCGTGGGACAGCGTAGAAGATGCAGATGAAGAGGTGGACGATCCCTGAATTGAGCGGTTGATCCAGGACTCGGCATTCTGCAAGCTTTGTTGCAAGGCAGCAGAGAGTGCAGCCTGGCGTCTCAGAGAGCCCTCATCCTCAGAGGCCGAAGACGTGTCTGTGTGGAATTAGAGAAAAAGAAGTCTCGATCCTGCCTTGAGCACAGACTGTTCAGTTCTTGCTCATTGACTGCACAACCGATGTTGACAGCAGTAAAACACCAGCATTCTCAGTTAGATTTATCAGGTGACATCTTAGACATGGAAGAGAGATCTAGGGGCCACAACTCACACAACAGAACACTGACCTCAGAAGACCATGGGAAACTTTAAAAAAAAAATCTTTTAATAATTTAATTAATTTGATAATTTAAGTAATTTAAATAATTTAATCAATCAGTTTTTACATTCTTCTGGTTTGCTCACTCATTAGAGACCTTGTAAGGGGTGGTCACATGGGTTTTTCTGGGTATCTGTCTCTGCTTAAAAGGAGAGGGCTACAGGAGACGTGGATACTACTTCTGCTGAAAAGCAGGAAGAGAGCGGGTGATGAGATCTCAAGTGGGGGCAAGAAACCATCTTAGCCTGGAGGCACTGCTTGCTCTACCGGACAAGCTGGCTGTTCACAGGGTGAGGTGAGGTTTCCAAACATGACAGAGCCATGAGAATTCCCTTGACTGAGCTGGGTTCTAACTTCAGGAAGCAGGCCTAAATTAGAACAGCTTGCTAAAAATTCAAAGTCCAGACCCAGGGAAAACTTCTAAATGACTGTGAGTTGAATGACCTCCTTCACTTTGCTCTTGTTTTTGCAGGACTAACAATGGAACCCACACATGTTGTATGAGCTAACTAGCAGAGCCCCAGTATCATTCAGTTTTTTGGAGTTTGAGACAGGGTTTCTCTGTAGCTTTGAAGCCTGTCCTGAACTCACTCTGTAGACCAGGTTGACCTCAAGCTCACAGAGATCCGCGTGCCTCTGCTTCCCGAGTGCTGGGATTAAAGGCATGTGCCACCACCACCCAGCCATTTTCTTTTTTGTTTTTTTAATAAAAAAATGTCACGCTTAGTTCTGCAGAAATTTTTTGTCTAATGCAGATGAATCAGTGGGTCCAGGACATGCAGTGATTCAAAGAGCCAGAGAAATAAACAAGAGAGCAGAAAAAATGCTAACACTTCACAATGGGAATTTGGGCTTAAAAAAAAAGAAAAAGAAAACAAAACCAAACCATGGTAATCCAGAATTCAGAAATCTAATCTATAAACCAGAGAGCCCAAATAAAGCAATGGCCACTACCTTTGCTTCTTGTTCAGACTACCAGCAATGTACTACCTCACATTAAAGGAGACGCACAGTCCAAGAACTGTAATGGTTTTAATGTACTATATGCTGGAATCTATGTCAGGTCGTAGGGATGCTGAGACATATGAATGCCTGTGAGATAGGACCTGCCACTAAAAAGCCATATGGTATGGTACTGGCAACATACAACCCCACACAAGAACATAACATGTAAGAAATGGAAGAAGTCAAGAACTTTGGGAGGAGGACTGCATTTTGAGTGCCTCAGTGTAAGTGGAGTACGTTATAAGGAGGCAGGAGATGAAGACCCCAGAGAATTCAGTGATACAGCAAGAAAGCTCCCTGCAGGGAAAAGGTACACAATATAACGGGGTGTCAAAGGAAAACACAGGGACAGTGGTGCTTAACAAAAGCAGTACTTTATAATTTCTAGAAAATACTTGAAAATTTCAACTCTATCTTGAAAGGAAAACATTCTGTAAACAAGCAGAAAGTGGAGGACAGGAAGGCAGTGAGACCTGTAACCCTCACCATGAGGATTTAGTGTTTTGGGGTAACATCTCAGAACCCCACAAAGGCCTCTGGATTTATAAGCTG